AACATCATAGTCATGTCCAGCCTTTTCTCTCAACATCACAAATTTTTGCTTTGGCCATGATCGTCATGGTGCTGAGAGGGATATCTTTTGTGTCTAATCTTTAATCCAGGTTATTAGAAGTTTCTCCATGTCTGATACAGGTCCTACTCAAATTTTTGTTAGTCTCGTTGGCTTCAATGAAGTAGATCCTTTAATAGCTTCCATCACTTGGTTCTTGTTCTTCAAGAGCATGGCTATAGTGGAATGAGACATGCCTGACTGGCAGGCAATAACCCATCACTGATTTTCCACCTTCATAGTCCTTAATCACTTTTAATTTTGTTTCCAGGTCAGTCACTCAATGTGGCCTCTTACTGGCAACATTAGTGGTGGATTTTGTACACTTAGGGGTCATGATGAACAAAACAACATGAGATTAAATCAAGCACAGGAGAAAATGATTTAATCAAGAGGCACAGTAAACATGCGATGTATGAAGCTGCCGCCAGCGTAGTGCAGCATACTGTTTTATAGTAAACTGTTTTTTTTAATAAGGGGTACACTTTAAAATAACAATAAAAGTATAGTATATTAAATACATAAACCAGTGACATAGTGATTTATTATAATTATCAAGTATTATGTACCTTACATAATTGTATGTGCTATACTTTTTCTTTTTTTACTGAGGAAGATTTGCCCTGAGCTAGCATCCATTGCCAATCTTCCTCTTTTTTTATTTTTTTTTTCATTTGAGCCGCCTCCACAGTGTGATCGCTAACAGACAAGTGGTGTAGGTCAAACCCGGGCCACAGAAGCAGAGTGTGCCAATCTTAACTACTAGACCACTGGGGCTGGCCTATATGTGCTATACTTTCATACAACTGGCAGCACAGTAAGTTTGTTTACACCAGCATCACCACAAACATGTGAGTAGAGAGTTGCGTTAAATGTTATGACAGCTACAATGTCACTAGGTAATAGGAATTTCTCAGCTCCATTATAATCTTATAGGTCTGTTGTCATATATTTAGTCTGTCATTGACCAAAATGTTGTTATGCAGTGTATGACTGTACATGTCTTAATCCCCAGAACTATGAATATGATACCTCACCTGGTAAAGGGAGCTTGTGTTATTAAAGGGACCTTGAAGTGATTAACTTAACATCTTGATGTGGGCATATTATCCTGGATTATCCCGGTTGGTTCAACGTAATCACAAGAGTCCTTATGAGAGGAAGGCAGAAGGTCAGTGTCAGAGAAGGAGATGTGACAACAAAAACAGAGGTAGGCATGATGCAAGGCCGTGAACCAAGGAATATGGATAGCCTCTAGAAACTAAAACATGCAAGGAAACATATTCTTTCACAGAACCTTGAAAAGAAATGCAGCCTGCTGACCCATTTTCAGTTTCTGACCTTCAGAATTGTATGATAATAAATCTGTACTGTCTTAAGTCACTAAGTTTGTGGCAATTTGTTACAGCAGCAATAGAAAACTAATATATTTTTGTTTATGATGAAAAAAATCTTAGCAATCAGGAAAAGAAGAGAATTTCCTTAATCTTACACGGGCATCTACAAAAAATATAGTGCAAACATTATCATTAAAGGTGGAATGTTGAAAGCTTTCTCTCTGAAATTGGAAATGAGACAAAGACGCCCAATATCACTTTTTCTATTTACCAATGTATTAGAAATCCTACCCAATGCCATAAGGCAAGAAAAATAAATGATAAAAGGATTGTAAAGAAAAATGAAACCACCATTTTTTGAGGATTTCATGATGATGTATATTAATATCCAAAAGAATCTATAATAAATGTTAGAACGAAAAAGTGAATTTAGCAAATTAAAAGGAAACAGGGCTCCCTGAAGGTCTGGCTAATTCCAGAGTCATTAAAGTAAATGTAAAAGATGAGCCTGGAACATCTTTTTATGTCAAAAAGTAAAGAAGTGCTCAAAAAATGAAGAGGGCGTCAAAATTATGCAGAGCCAATTTGAAGAGGTTCCCCATTGGCCATACTACAGGTGAATTTGCCTCAAAATGAATAATGACAGTCATTACCATTGAATAAAATGATAATCCATAAGTCCATGCTGAATGTAAGTAAATGAATAAACAAATATATGCGGGAGAATTGAAAGCTCTTATTTATATTATAGTGATTATATAATTAATCCAGGCAAGAATCACAAATGAATGTTGAAATTATTGGGTGAATGTTTGAAGACGAACAGGATGTTACTTAATCTCAAAGTATCTCTCCTTAGTTTACTTAATAAAAGTAGAAATAAATAGTAATGAGAAATAAGTGGTAATTGTAAAGTGGAACAAATCTTGTGGATGGCACTTTAATCAAGTGATCAAAGTTGACATCACTAAAACAGGAAAAACTTACAATGTGTGCCTTCTGATTCAATGTACTGGAAGGAGCGATTAGATAGATGCAAAGATAGAAGGATAGACAGACCATACATAAATACGTATGCCTGCGTGTGTATGTGTGTGTGTGTCTGAGAAATGCTAACAACTGGTAAGTCTGAGTGAAAAGTAAATGGAAATTGTTTGTGCTAATTTAATAAAATATGTGGAATATCCATACATGGAAAATTTAGAAAAATTAAAGATCTAAATCAATGGAGAAGTACACTATATTTATGAATTAGAATGCTCCATGTCCTAAAAATTTAAATTATCCTCAAATATAAGAATTTGTTCCATATAATTCCAAACAAATTCTAACAGATTTTTTTTTGTGTGGAAATTGATAGTAATAGTCAAAAATGTATATAGAAATGCGAGTGCCAAGAATAACCAAAATAATCATGAAGAGTTAATTCTTTCATCTCCTTGTCTTGTACAAGAAGAAAACAATGTGACAGAAATTACCCTATTAGGTAACAAAGTCCCAAGATTACAAGGTATAAAGATACAATAGCTAATTAAACAGTGTGATATTAACACAAAGAAAGGCAAATGGTTCGGAATAAAGAAAGCCAATCCTCTCATCTCTGATTTATGATAAAAATGCAATGAACAGTACAGGGTAAATAATGGCCTTTTCAAGAAGTGTTGCTGAGTCCATTGAATATCCATACCAGGGAAAAATAAAACTGTATCCCTACCACACACCATAAACAAAAGGCGATTCTCAGTTTGAACATCTTAATGTGAAAGGAAAAGCAATAATGGTTCAGGTTTTTTGGTTCAGAGAACATGGAAGAATATCTTCAGGACCTTGGGGTGGGGAATATTCCTTAAATAGTCTAAAGAAAGCTATATCCATAAAGGAAAATATTGTAAATTTTACATATTAAAATTAAAAACCTCTATTTATCAAATAGAAAATTTTATGAGTGAAAAGACAAGTTGGGATATATATTGCTAATATACATAATTTGATAAAGGGCTTGGGTACATAATAGATAAAAAATTTCTGCAAATCAACAAGAGAAAAAACAGACAACCAGATCAAATACTGGGTAAGACACTTGAGTAGACATTTCACCTGAATGGACCAATAAACGTATAAGAAAAGTGCTCAACCTCATTTGTAATCAGGAAAATGCCAGTAAAAATCACAACACATTATATTCATCAAAATGGCTAAAACTAAAAGGCTGATAATGCCAAGTATTGGCAGAGCAATGGCAATGCTCATACAGTGCTGGTAGGAGTGTGATTTCTAAAATCTCTTTGGAAACTGTTTGGCATTACCAATTAATTCTACAATTTCCTTCTTTGATAAATACCCAAGTGATTAAATCAATTCTGGCATATTGATATGATTGAATACTATACAGCAATGAAAAAGAACAATTAAAGCCATGTGAAACAACAAGGTGACTCTCATAAGTATCATTTTGAAAAAAAGAAACCAAACACAATGAAACATATAGTTTGACTCCTAATACATCAAGTTCAAAAACAGGCAAAATTGATCTATAGTGGTAAAAGACAGAATATTATTTACTTTTTGAGGAGAAGGGTAGGGGATAGCGGTTGTTAGGAGGTACAAGTTTGGGTGGGGGGACTCCTTGGAAGCTAATAATGTCAATTTTCTAAACTGGATACCGTTTGCATGAACCTCTTCATACTGTGAAAATTAATTGAGCTGTACACTTAACATTCACACACTTCTTTGACATGTATTTAAGTTTCATCTAACAGGTGAACTTTTCTAAATACATCGGAATAACATATCAAAATCGTAACAGTGGTTACTTCTGGAGAAAGAGGGTGATAACTGAGATTCGGGAGGGGCTGATGGTGAGCGGGGAGAGTTCAACTCTATATCTTATTTCATTTTAAAAAAATACAAAGCAAAATATTAAAACATGATTAACGTAAGATTTGTTACGTCAGTATTTGTTATATTACTACATACAATATATACACAGTCATGTCCAATGTATACTGTATACTATAGATACTCTGTAAATTCAAAATCCTTCCCACACAAACAAGTAAGGTTATCCTAAGTAGTATGTTCACCAATACAAGAGACACTTCCAGGATGAGGCCATCATGGTCTCCAAACTGCTCTTGAAACTAGAATTGTAGCATCTGAAGATGTTGTTGGCCACTGTGTGCGTTACATTTCACAGAGTGCACTTTATTAGGCCTTGGGAGAAACTTGTCCCTGTCCTGACAACTGGGAGTATTTGGGCTTCCCTTCTCCTGAGGAAAATAGTAGACATTTTGAATTATCATATAATTGGTCCTATTTTGACTTTTGTACTATTAATCAGAAACCTCAGAGTCAAATTTGCAGTCCTTCCCCTATAGTATGAGTTTTTAGTACTAATCTAAATCTTAGCTTAATTTTACTTACTTTAAAGTTAATTATTATTTGCCCCATCTACTTTTTAATCTTATTTCACCCTGAATTACTTCTTAAAGGCTCCTGGAATGTGACTGGTTAAAAATTATTAAATATATGATGAATTTGATCCAATGATTTTTTTTAAAAAAATGTCTTTTCAATCATTTATCTTCTGTGTTTGTATCCATGAAGAGATTTGCATGATGGAAGAACTGATTGAAGAGCAAGCAGCAACGAGTTGGCACTTAGGGCAAGAACTTAGGGCAGTTTTACAATGAAAAAGAATGCTCCCCAGCAGGAAAACTGAAAAGAACTTAAGGCAATGAGTAAGTAGTAAACGATATACTACTCGGTATCCTGATACGCTCTTCTGTTCTCTGTAGGGTGATAGGAAATTTTGGTGAGTCTTAGGGTAAGCACTGTTATGAACTCTTCGTGAGACCCACAAACCCTTCTACATGGAGAAAATTTACACACTTATATATAGTTGATATAGAAGGCAAAACTAGTTTTCTGACTCTCTTTTCTGAATATCATGCATTGATGCCATGTTTGCAGTTTTGTTACATTTGTGTTACTGTATTTTATTTTGTTAAAATTCTTTTATTTCATTACTATTTTATTACATTGATTTATTGCAGTTCAGTTATAAGTGATAGATGCTGTGGTTTCTCCTGTTCGCCCTATATTCCTTTCATCTGTATACACACACACACACCTCTTTCAAATAACCATGGATGATTTGTAAACTACTTCTCACCCTGTTTTCCATTTCAGTCTCATTAAAATTTCCAAAGTCAGCTCTGGAGTTCAAGCTTTCTCAAAGATCAATGCAGACTTCACTTACCGTTGGGTTTTGCTGATCCATCCTTCAAGAAGCTAATTTAAATTTCTCCCTGCTAGGTAATATGGTAAGTCACTACTCTATGTCAATATTTGCTTTAAGTTCTTTTCCACTTGATGGAGTTCATGAGATGTGTAAAACATTTTCTTGGCTCTTCAAGAGTGGGTTTTATATGTATGTAAAAATAGAAAGGAAATGAGTGTAAACTTTTCCAAAAGGCCTTTCTGAAATGAATGATCATTTTATTATTTTCTCAGATAAAATTAACTCAGTCACTTGAAAGAAATACAACACTCATATTTAATGCAAAGTATTGAGATGAGAGAATGAAATATATCTGTATTTATAATTCATCATAACATTTTATATTCAATTTTCACTTTGCCAAAATGCATTCATCACTGAATTTTAGAAAAATAGAGGAATTCTTAATACTTCATGAATAAAAGTCTGAGGGGGAGGAATTCCCTCTGGTAGCAGTTTTATTTCAAATCAAGTCGTAGCTTCGATTGTTTGATGCAGGCAAAAATCCCAAAGAAAAGATTTAAATGTTGCAACGTTCTCTTAGTATCTAAAACATAAGAGAAGTAACTCCCTAGACTTAGAAACATAGCTACAATAGCAACCTCCCACCTCTAAGCCCATCAACTTTAGGTCCCAACTAGAGGATGACAGGAGTTGGCCAATGAAAGAATAACATTTCTCAGAGTTCATTTTACTCTTGAGTCACTTTTGCATGAAATGATAGCATCCCTTTTGGGGACTGGCCTCAGTGCATCTCTCTGTAAATTACTACCATATATCAGTCTTGATTCAATAGACTATAAAATATAGGTGTTTTTTTTATTGGCAAGAACTTAGGGCATTTTTACCATGAAAAATAACGCTCCCCAGCAGGAAAACTTAAAAGAATTAAGAGTTATGGGACTACAAGGAGAAACTGACCACTTCTTCCCTTGAAAAACCTCTTCCCTTATCTTTATTTCCAGATCTCCAATGTATGACCTTCTAATTCTGTTGAAGAAAAGGAGACTGAAGTTGTAAAAATAATTTCAACTCAAACTCCTTGGATCCAACTCACATAATTAATTTAACAGTAGCTCAAGGTTTCTTTTTTCCTTAAACCACTCTTTCTTTTTCCTAATTGCCTAATTTTCTAATAGGCATTGGAATCTTCCATTTGAGTCCTCTCAGAGCCTGATTTCATCTATGTCAGAACATTGGAGACTAGAAAATTGGATTGCATATTAAACTTATTCTACTTTAAAGCTTCTTGAATTTGGTTCCTATTGGATATTAGATTCCTTTAGTAGCTAAGAAACCATGGCGACGACAGTACAGTATGCTTTGATATAATCAAAAAGGATTTGTGTCTCCATCCTTAGGCATTATAAAACATTCCTCTCTGAAATAAAATTGTATATCTGGAGCATAGTTCTGTTTTGTAAATTTTATTGTTCTGTTAATTTAGATGTTGTTTAAAGGGTTCAAAATGAAAAACAGGCTCACCCTTTAAGGAAGCTGTGCCGTAAATCCAGGTTCACACACAGGCAAATCCAAATAGAGGTTCGACAAAGAGCCATTTAGTGCAAATGAGCTCTTAATAAGATATAAATATGATTCAGTTTGGAAATAAAAAATGGTAGTGTGTTTCCTAGAGGAAAATCTCCACTACTGGAAAAAGATCATCATGAAAGAGTCACACTGTTGACCAAAGTATTTAGCCTGCCTCTATTTTCCTTTTTTGTTTTTTCTCTTGCTGTAAAGGGGAAAAAGCAAGTAGAAACCAAATGAGAAATAAATAAGGCTGAGGGACCTAAAATTGAGAGAAAGGAAAAAAGTGAGAATCCTCAAAACTGAATAATGAGACAAAAAGTTAAGCAAATATGATAATTACTCAATATCATCATTCTAGCAAGCCCCACTTCAGGAACTAAATTGCCTGGAGCTGTGAATAAAATGTGTGGCTATAAGGAAGATAAAGTTAAAAATTTTTCATTTCGCAAGTGAAAAACAAGGCTGAATTTAATAAAAAGGCACCAATGATGGAAAGATCTTCAGCAAATCCAATCACCTTATTACAAGAGAGAACTGGGGATCAGAGGAATTCAATGACATGTCCAAGTTTACATGCTTATTAATGATGGGGCTAGGACTAGAGCCAGCATCTCCTGAAATTTCCAGTAGCACCCTCACTACCTAAAAGGATGTGTGTCTTTAAATTGTTCATTTATTTGCATTCTTCCACAGTTATTTAGTCAGCATTTTCTACATGCCAGGAATTATATTCGGTCCTGAGGATTCAGGATAGAGAAGAATTATACAAAAGATACAGTCTTTGTACTCATTGAGTCTTTGAGGAAAACCAACATCAAACCATTATTTACAAAATTAATTACAGCTGGAATGAGTGCCACAAAGACGTGCAGCATAATATAAAAATTTTGCAAGTATCAGCTATCTATCTAGGACTTCTTGTTCTACTGCTTTTCTGAAATTTCTCTTGTTGAAGTCACTAAGACACATTTCTTTCCTAATTTTACATGAACTTTCTTCAGCCTTTGACATTGCTAACAGTTTCTTCCTTCTTGAAGCTGTTCCCTTAACGTGACCCTTTTTGTAGCGGTCTTTCATCTACCTTCCAAAAAAGTAATACAAGGGGTTTCGGATCCAGGCCAAGTATTGCAGGACAGGCTTGTGGCTGCAAACCTTGGACAAGACAGGAGCTAAAACACAGCTTTGGGGGCTGAGGAGTTAATGGAGTCAAATGGATGGATATAGTAAAAGTTACTGACAGCACCCTGAGGGAGTCATCAAGAACGAAGCCATGGGAAAAGAAGTAACTTGGAAAACTTGAATACAGCCATAAAAGCGAATGAAGTCCTAACATAACAACGTGGATGAACTTGGAAAACATTATGCTAAGTGAAATAAGCCATAGACAAAAGGCCACATATTGTATGATTTCATTCACGCGAAATACCCAGAATAGACAAAGTCAGAGAGACAGAAAATATGTTGGTGGTTGCTGGGGACTGGAGGCAGTAGGAAATGGGGAGTGACTGCTTATTAAGTACATGGTTTCCATTTGGGTGACAAAAAAACTTCTGGAACTAGAGAGTGGTGATGGTTGCCCAAGGTGGTAAATGTACTTAATGCTACTTAATTGTACACTTTAAGTGATTAAAATGGTAAATTTTATGATGTGTATTATTGTGTATTTCACCATAATAATCACAATCACAATAACAATAACAATAATAGTAGTAGCAGTAGGGCCTTGTCAGCAATGGGTGATGGCTAGCTCCCCAGTTGAACACTCAACAAGCTTTGTACATGCCAAAGGAACAGAATGTGAATTTCGCTAAGTGAGCTCTTCGTTATTGGGCACCAGAGCTGGATACCCAAAGGTGGTCAATGGAAATCCGGAAAAGAGTGTGAGGACTGTGGGCCCCAACTACCCCACCATCAGGATAGAAAAGTAACCCTTGAAATCAGAAGCTGCCTTGGGGAATGGGAAGAAAGAGGCAGACTGGATAGGAGTTGAACTTTGAGTTGCCTTAATAATTTCTGAAATGAGACTATTCAAAAGAAATTATTTTACACTGGAAAGGCCTGAGATATTGTAATTTGCAAGTTTTGAAGTATTTCTTTTTGGGCCATCAACAGGAATGGGTGTCTTAGAGTGAGTTGAAAATAGTTACAGAAAATAAAAAGACGACTTTTTGTGCGTATTTGAGTATAGTATGTGTATTTCAGGTTTTAATGAGCTGGACCTTGGAAACAACCAATGTACAATGCAGTTGTGTTTATAACCCATCTCTTTTGTTTGGGTAACTTTATGGTTTGTTTATTTTAATGATGAGGAAAGTGATAAAAATGTAAAAATCCTACATCAGTGACTGCTTGTGGGGATAGAAGATGTCGCCCATGAACTTCGTGAAGTCAACACTCCGTGAGGTTTAGGTATCTTAGCCCTACGCTCGTACAATGTTGAAAACCACCATTAGTGTGAAATTCCTACAGGATAAAGACTTGTGTTATAGACAGTCTGAAACTCTCAAGCATTTAATCTCCACTTTCCCATTGAAACAATTGTTTTTATAATGAACTTTTCTTTTTTTTTTTTTTTTTTTTTGAGGAAGATTAGCCCTGAGCTAACTGCTGCCAATCCTCCTCTTTTTGCTGAGGAAGACTGGCCCTGAGCTAACATCCGTGCCCATCTTCCTCTACTTTATACGTAGGATGACTGCCACAGCATGGCCTGGCAAGCAGTGCCATGTCCACTCCCGGGATCCCAACTGGCGAACCCCAGGCCACCGAGAAGCAGAATGTGCGAACTTAACCGCTGCAGCACCAGTCCGGTCCCTATACTGAAATTTTCTATGGTGTGAAACTTCCATTAGCACAATTATCATGTCATAGACAGAAATCTCTCTCAGAGGTCTCAAAATAGGTTTTTTTTTTTTTTTTTTTTAAAGATTTTATTTTTTCCTTTTTCTCCCCAAAGCCCTCCAAGTACATAGTTGTATATTCTTTGTTGTGGGTCCTTCTAGTTGTGGCATGTGGGACGCTGCCTCAGCGTGGTTTGATGAGCGGTGTCATGTCCGCGCCCAGGATTCGAACCAACGAAACACTGGGCCGCCTGCAGCGGAGCGCGCGAACTTAACCGCTCGGCCACGGGGCCAGCCCCTCAAAATAGGTTTTGATTACTATTTTTAAAAATTGGGATATTTTACATGTCTGTGTACAGATTTCATGTTTTTCTTAAAAGTTTTGCAGAGCTGGCAATTAGACTTGAGTTGCTGTATGGCAACAATCAGAACTGAGTCTCCAGCTTAACAGATTCCTCAGCCCTTCTTATTGTCTCAAGAACACCAATTTCACTTCACTCATTTGATATCTTGACCTATGGGCATTGGCGTTCACACTCCTTGTTATAGCCAAATGTGTGTGATTACGTCCAATGAAGATGACAACACTGGTGACACTGGTGAACCACGTGGTTTGGCTTAAGTGGCAAAATCCCAGAAATTTCCCATCTCTGGATGGCAAACTCCACCAATTGCCTAGCTCAGAAAGACTGAAGTCATAGTAAGTGTACCATCACCCTTAAAACAGAATCGTTCACTAACTAAGAGAGCATTATGTAAAGCAGGCTGTAAAGAGCCAAGTGGTCTGCACACATATAAGGCATTTTTACAGGCTTGTCAGGAACCAGCGTTTTGGAGTTTGGCCAAGGTATCTAGAAGACCGTTTGATGATGATGATAACTTTGGTACAGCAGATACAGCCCACAAGACCCTAGCTTAGCTCTGGAAAAACTGAAAAAGCTTCAAGACATTTATAAGAAAATAGTATTTCACAACTCTACATTAGTATTAGAGAGCATGGTACATAGCACAGAGATAAGTAAAAGCATTCACTTTGAAATATAGATTTTTGGTTTTAGTGCATGGATCTGCATTTCTCAGTAGCTTCAGGCACTTTTAGAAAAATGACATCTTCACGGGTTGGCCAGGTGGCGTAGTAGTTAAGTTCACATGCTCCACTTCCATGGCCTGAGGTTCGCAGGTTCAGATCCTGGGATCAGACCTATGCATGGCTTATCAAGCCATGTTGTGGCAGCATCCCACATGCAAAGAAGAGGAAGATTGGCACAGATGTTAGCTCAGGGACAATCTTCCTCACCAAAAAAATAATGGTAAAATTAAAAAAAAAATAAAAATGATGTCTTCAGTCCTCCTGGCATCTCTGTTAATTTGATAGTTTAAATGGACTCTCATTTTCACACAAGGTAAAAATGAAACAGAGAGATTAAGCAGCTGATTGAAGGTCACACAGTGACTCAATACAGAGAAAAAATGAACTGTGTCTCTTGATTCCCGTACCAGTTTTATGCTGTGACCTAATTCTTCTGAGGTACCATGACCCAGTTAAATAAGGTTTTCATTTTTCTTTCTACAAGAATTGATTAAATAATGGCTCAAGATTATCATTGAACTTTTATTATTTTAATTGCATAGCTATCAATAGTTATGTAAAAATTCATAAAAGATTGTTCTTGATGCAATGTAACAATTGATTTTCCTTCAGACAGCGAATCATTCAGAATTCTGAGTGTGGAATTCTTTTAGAACTGTGCTTTGATTTCTTAACAGGATTATGGTTAATCTGTTGATGAATAGTAACTCAGAATCCTTTATTCTTGGCTTTATGTTTTTTAATAGCTCATTTTGTTAGACTCTTATTATATATTTTCTTTGGCTCTGTCAGTAAGTGCAAATATTGAACAGCCTGAAGATCTGTCTTATTGGCCTGCTCTCTCCCTGAAAGTTATTAAAAATCAAATGAGAAGGAAAAAAACCATTTGCTCTTTGGTGTAAAACAAACTCACCTTGGGAGATAAAAAGAGACAATTTGCAAGATTTACTTGAAAAATCTACTTTCCTGGACCCTTTTGGCTGGGGATAAGCGATCATTTATTGGTGTCCTATAGGTTACTTACAAATTTCTGGTAAGAAACAAAAACAGGACAGTGGGAAACAGTAATTGAGACAATGATACAAACTGAAAGTTGGGGCTGTGGCTTGCCTTTGTTTCAGCTGAGACACAGCTGAGGTTTTCCGTTAAGTGTGGTGGAAAATAAGGGAAAAGGAATTATTGCCAAAAAAGTAAACACAATGATGGTTGAGTATATATATTAAATTATTTTCCAAGGAGCTTTTGTGTGAGAGCCTGTCTGATCGTACACTTCAATACGTTTACATCTTGGAATTTTAAAGGGTCTGTCTGTCAGTGTGCTTTCTGAATAGGTTTTCAATTGCACAAATGGTCTCTATCACATGAAAAGCAATACTGTTTTTTGAAAGGCAATGTACTTATTGTGCTACCCACATGGGACTATCAGTGCCTATTGGCTACCAACAATTACCTTTGAAATGAAAAATATTGTTTGTATCAAAGAACTGTTTGAGTCTAAAGAAAAAGCTTTGCAGCCTGTCAATCATCCCCATATCCCAAGGATTATATTGTTGGGAGTTTTATACAATTTATATGCAGAACCTGAAAATGACTCCAGTGAGTTATATAGCCCCATGGGGCGTTTACGCTCTGGCGAGGCTGCGTTTCCTGACACTGCTGACATCAGATTCTTTTTGTGGAAGTAGGAAGCAGCGTCCCTCTATTTTTAGATACATGGGGTCTGCCCAGCAATTGTTATCATCAGTGATCACTTTCCTGATTTCAGATCACCTTTATCAGTTCAGCTGGGGATTAAGGAAAACAGTTATTATAAACATCTCCCCAGATTATTGGTTTGGAAAAGTAGCAAATAGAATAGTGAGTGTTGCCCAGCTTACCAGAATAAGTTACTGGGGCTACTAAGTTTCCAGTAACCAGAACAAGTTCAGGGATCTTTGTAAATCGGTATTTTAGAATTATTTTTTTTAACCAAAGTCTTTTGAAAAAGCTTTATCATTCATTTTTAGATTGCAAAGCAGAGCCAGGCTGTCATTCCAAAATTCATTCCTTGCTCAAAAAATGCATCTATAATTTCTTTATAGTGTGTAGATGCCATGGCAGGAAACTGCTCTGGAGACAGAAGGCATGCCGACGTCATTGAACAATCCATGTGTCTGCCTAATGCACGAGAGTGAGTTACTGTAAAGCCTGGGATAAACAGATCTGCTATTTGATAAATATATAATAGGATATTTAGTGAAGGCTTAAGTGTTACCAGACACTCAGGGGTCTCCTACGCATATTTCCAAAGGAACTTTAGACTTAGCCCTGTCTGAAATTAGTTCTGATTATTAACAGAAAGAGACTTTTTATTTTAATCAAAAGCATGCAGACTTTATGTTTTGAAAACTAAAAAGCAGAAAGAGGTAAAGGGGAAAAGGATTAGGGAGATGTGGAGAATATTATCACTCTTGTTTATAAAGTAAAACATGTTAAGAGTTATAAATGTTCCCTAGCAGAAGGAACCACACCGTGAGGAATACTTTGTGTGTGTGAGAGGATATATTTATTTATTCATACGTTGTATATATTCATGACCACAAGTATATATATGTTTATAGCAGATATACATCTTATATATACATATATAACATATTATATATGTAGTAGATATATATAGTAGATAGCTATTTGACATTTTATTTTATTACTTTACCTTATTTCCCAATTATCGAGACTACAGTATGACCATAAAAATCCCCAAAACTCTTTACTTTTTGGAAAACTGTTTTTAATTTCATATAAATCCCAAACCACAAACATTAGTAAAGTCAAATCAGTGAATATTTACTGACTGGCCTATTGAGTATTTAGGCTTTTGCTGTGTGTTGTGAGTAATAGAAATATGGAAGGGCATTAAAATGAGAAAATTCAATCCAGTCGTTTAATTTCTGTGCGACAGAAAAGATTCCCACGTTTGTAGTTTGCAGTGGAACACCTGGGTGCCAGTGAGAGAGAAGCAAAATCTAAGAGCCATTGTGCTGAGCAGTTGAATTTTGTGGATTCTGAAGGGGAGAAGAGATAAAATGATTAAAGCAGATCTTTTTGGCAGCAAGCAGGTGTGAATACTGCAAATCATGGGTGGTAACTAGAGAAAAGAGGTGGCTTGGAGGTCAGCTGTGGGTCAAGGTCTGAAGCAGAATCAGCCAGGAGAGTAGGAGTCAGCAACAAGTAGATTAACTCTGAATCAGCATGCACACAGGAGGAACAGAGTCTGCTTCAACTCTCTGTCCTTATTGGCTTTTGTTTATTTGTTTATCTACTTAGGACCTGCCTGACTCCTGAAAGAAATTAAGGTCCTTAAGAAATTAAGAAAGCAACAGGTCAAGACAGTTTCTAAGGCAGAGATGAAAGAAAAGACTGGGAACATTTGAGTTCTGGGTTCAAGGTGATGAATAGGCAGGGAAATTCATCATTTTATCAGGATATTGGTAACCAGGGAGATGGTAAGAGTGTGAGGAAAAGAGATGGACAAGAAAAACTGGGGAGATTAATCTATCATTTAGAAACCTATGTAAGGAGGCTGGCCCCAAATGTGATAAGAAAGAAGACTGGGCTGCAAGACTGTGACTACTCTCACTTGCCCCTTCTTGGCAAGAAAGAAATCTGAAGCTGAAGCAATGCAATGGCTAAACCCAGTATATTTGATATGCTCCCTGTTATGTCATGGACAAACCCCCAAGCCTGTTGGGACTTACAGAGGAGACAAACAGATGTACCTGGATGAAGTGGGGAAGAATAGGGACATGATTAGGAGTATTCCAAGGAAGAAACTAGATGGGAACAGGGAGATTGAAGGCAAGGATGCAGGCATGAACTGACAAGAGTATAACCAAGAGCTGAGCAGTGAGAATGGAGTGGAAGGGAAAAGGAAATCTAAATGAGAACATGATACTAGCACCGAAATCTAACTCTGTTAATCTATAAATGGTCAAGAAGTAGGATCACTTTTATTCCTTTTTTTTTTTTTTTTTTTGCTGAGGAAGATTAGCCCTGAGCTAACATTGGTGCCAATCTTCCCCTATTTTGTATGTGGGCTGCTGCCACAGCATGGCTGATGATTGTTGTAGGTCTCTGCCCACGATCTGAACCTGTGAACCTGGGCTGCCAAAGTGGAGCACACTGAACTTCACCACTATGCCATGGGGCTAGCTCCCTCTTTATTCTGTCTTTTGCTTACTTTCAGCACCCCTGACTTTTATTCTCACTAGCGTTGTCCTAGAAGTAATTGTTCTGCTCCTTTCTCTTCTGTCACTTTGTCATCTTGTCCTGTTGTTGCTTAGGACCTTCTGTGACAATCTCAGAGCTGCTGGAATTTTAACATCAGAATACCCAAGTTGCAGCATCCGTATATCACAAGTGCTAGAATTATATCACAAAATGATAGTTTTCAAGATTCTAAAAATGTGAATCAATGTCTTGCAATTCTTCACAGGGGGTGACCTTAAAAAGAAAAAACAATACAGGTTTGTTTTCATTAGTAGGAAGAAAAGGTTTCATGGAAGTGCGTTTCTCCATTCTCCATCAATGTTGCTTCGTCATGGTGGCCCATAGGCTCAAGAAATAGAATTTCTTCTGATGTTTTTCTATATATATATCATAATTTGAATGAAACCAAAAATTCTGAGACTAATTAAAAGAAATACAAGCTTTTTCATGTTCAAGGTCACCTCAGAAATTTAAAGATACTCTCTTGCTCCTCACCAACTCTCTCACTCTCTCTTTCTCTCTCACTTTCTTTCTTTCAGCTTTTATGGACTTCTTAAAGTGTTCCAGGTCCTCTGTGGAAGATACGGAAAATTTTAGTGAAATCCTCCAGTGTCTTCTCCTATGGAGTGTACAGTATATTTAACAAGAAAGTAAACAGATAATTACAACTTAATATAAGCACTAACAAAGGACAAGTAGTGAGTGCTATGATGGGGAGTCAGGAAGTGGAAGATATCAAGATAAACGTCTGAAAAAAGGTGTTGTTTAAGCTAAGGACAGTAGACATTTAACAAAGTTGGTGTGTTGGAGGAGAGAAAACCCCAGAATACTGTTCCAGAGAGAAGAAACATCATGTATGATATATGAAAGTAATTTTATTCAAAGAACAGAAAGAAGTTCAAACAGAATCAGTCTGTTTATTATGATCATCAGGGGAACTGGTAAGAAGTGAGACTGAAGCTATAAGTGAGGGCCAGCATTATACCAGGAATGTGAGGATGGTTTGATCTCCAAAAATATATTAATGTAATACACAATTTCAATAGAATAATAGAGACAACTCGGTATGTTCATATCAACAGATGCAGGAAAAGGCATTATATAAAAGTTAACATTCATTTATCAAAATTTCTTAGCAACCTGGGATGGGAAGGACAGTTTGTTAACTTTATAATTGATATCTCTCAATAAACCTAAAGAAATATCCTATTTGATACTAAAACATAAGAAGCATCTCTTTTAAAGTCAGAAACAATGCGCATTCTAACCTCAATTGCTTTCATATTATAATGGCAGTTGTAGCCAAGCAATTAAAAACAGAAAAGAAAAAGGAAATAAGACATAAGAACTGGAAAAATAGTAGGGGCCATGCTTTCCTTAGAAAACTTCCTTTCCAGCTAATAAACAAAATGACTGGATTGTGAAGGGCTAATCCAACTTTTACATCAATTGAGATGCTGATTAAAGCAAATATTTCAACCCACCAAACACCCTAGTTGATAAAATAACTTAAATACAACAATAGCTTTGTGTCGGTGAATTACTAACCAAAGCAAACCGGTCCATGTTTGTCTTTCCTCAGTATCTTTTACTATCCACTGTGTCGTCAATTTCCTTGCCAGTTGCATTTCAGTAATTACTTGATGTGTGCATGCAAACCGTACATGGCAGTGGGAACACACTCAGTCAGTGTCATTTTTTGTATAGTGTGCCCAGTATCTGGTTAAAAACTATGATGACTTAAAGATTTTATTTCAAGAGTCTTTTAGGAGTTGCACAAGAAATTTTATAGCAATGTCCTCCCTTAGATGAAAAACAAATCCATCCTAAACAACAGTTTTGAATATTAACAACTATCTTGAATATGTAAATACCACAAAATATATTTCTCTAGACATCACTGGCTCTTTGGCCTCTAATTACTTTTCTTCACCTTGTTAACTCTGTTCGCTGGCATCTGTCACAGTGAGGCCAAACTTCACAGAAAACATTGTAAATCATAATGTCACATGTACTCTACATTTTGTATAAATAGTGCTAGGTTTATAAGAATTACATTATGGGAGCAATGTGATATTTTATGAAATGCACAGGTTTATGTATTTCAACTCCTTGTTATACTTCTTATAAAATCTGTAATCTAAGTAAGATTTACTTAACTTCCTTAAGGCTTAGTTTATCAGTACAATGTGCGTGATAGCAGTTATTTTACATGATTCTGGTGAGGATTAAATGGCATAAGCACAGTCAAGGGCACAGTGACTGCTACTAGGAGCTGAATAAATGGCAGTTCCCTTTCCTTTATTCTTTCTGTCTATAGTATCAAATAATAACTCACACCATAGCACAAACCCTTAGCGTTCTTTCCAACCTCTCAAACTATCCATTGACTTAAAGGGAACAAAGCATAACGCCCTCAACCAGGACCACCGTTAGGAAGGAAAGCTCCAAAGGTATAATTTTCATGAGGTTAGGTTCTTTTTTGTTCATTATTGTTTCCTCACAGTAGAACACATTGCCTGTTACACAGTGGAGACTTAACAGAAATTTATGAATAAATGAATGAATGAGCAAACTACAAAGGATCTTAATACCATTTAGTACAATCACCTTACATTTTTTATTAAAGTAAAATTCATATAAAATTCATGATTTTAAAGTGTACAATTCAATAACTTTTGGTACATTCACCATGTTACACAACCACTACCACTATCTGATCTCAGATCATTCTCATCAAAAATACCCTGCACCCATTGAACAGTCACTTCCCATTCCCCGCTCCTCTCAGCCCCTGGCAATCACTCATCTGCTTTCTGCCTCTGTCAACCACCTTACTTTTAAATGAAGAGAAGCTGAGATCTAGAGACATCACATGAATTTCCATGCTATACAACCAGTAAACCTCAGAGCTGGGGTATCAACTCTCCAGAGCATCATCCTGATGCCCTCTCTAGAGCATCATTGTGCATTGCTTCACATACAGATCATTTGGGCAGGTTCTTTATTAAGAATAATCCATTTTTCAGGTGAGGAAATCGCAGTACAAAGAGTTTAAGTGACTTACCTATGATCACACAGCTAATAAATTAATAATCCAAGATGTTAATAGAATTTAATTTAAAATGGGAGAGATTAGAAGTAACAAATTTAGGGAATGTGGAAATCAACATTTAATCAGTGTTCTACACTATAGGATTTCTCAGAGCTTTTAATGATCCAATTGCTTTTAGTAGATTAAGAGTCTTTAATTGATTAACTATGAATTTCTGAGAGGAGAATATAGGATGTAATATAATACTTCTCAAATGTATTTGAGTAAAGGAGTTTTAAAAACCAACAACTGAGTTTTAATTTACATTCAGTAAGTAAACTCATTTTCAGTGAACAGTTCAACGAGTTTTGACAAATGGAGCCACCACCACAATCAAGGTAGAGAAGCATTCCATGGCCTCCTTCCCAGAGGATTTCCCCACCCCTGGCCTCAGACAACTACTGCTCTATTTTCAGTCACTATAGATTAGACTTATCTCTTCTAGAATTTCATATATGGAATCATATAGTATGTACTCTTTGGCATCTGTCTTCCTTCATGTGGCGTAATGATTTTAGATTCATCCATGTTGCTGCATGTTGTACCAGTAGGCTGTTCCTTTTACTGTTGAATTTCTTTTATTGTATCGTATGGAACCGTCACCGTGCATTTACCCATTCACCTGTTCATGAATATTTTTGGTTCATTTTGTTTCAGTGGAGCATCTTCCACTTTGGAAATCACTGACATGGATCCCGGCTAATATCAGATTCTTAGAGACATAGGAACTCTTTTGGAGAAGTGGAAACCAGAGATGTCATGTAGGCAACGATTCTCTTGGTCATGTAGCAGCTGTGACACGGAAGGAAAAAAACATCTGGGGAGCACCTTCTTTATGTCCGACATTTTGTTGGGCATTTAACAGCCCCTACCTCACCTAATCCTGGAATGTTAGGAAGTCATTCTGAGGACCATGGTAAGAAAGTATCTGGGCAGAAGGATGCATGTGTGTGTGTGTGTGTGTGTGTGTGTATGTGTGTGTGTGTGTGTGTGTGTGTGTGTGTGCTATATTAAATGCAACAAAAAAGTAAAAGAAATCTTAACCTCTCTCTGGATGAATTGAGCAGGTTTTTTTAACAGAATGCTAATCTAGCTTCAGTCTGTAGATTGATAACAAGTGCTTTGTTGAATGTAATTAATAAATATGAAAGATTAGATGTTGAATCTGATATCTGTTGACCTTGTAATTCTACAGACCTTACAGGCAATAAAACATCCCTGTATGTTGTACTGAACCTGTGTCTTGTTTTCACAATTATCTTTGTAAGCATTCTTACTCAGTTACCATTCCAGAGAGCTCCTCTTCCCTATTACAGCACTAATAAATTAGGGGTTCCATAAGTGCCTTTGTTCAGATTCATTTTCTTCTTTCAGTTAATGAACAGCCATCTGCAGCTGCTCCTCGATCTTAATCCATCTGCATGGAGATGCCATTGTTATATACAGCATTCTATAAATATTGCTATGTTGACAAGCTGACTGCAGATGAGGGGGGATATTTTTATTATTATTATCCCTGATTAAGAGAGAGGCCAGATTGACAACACAAGGGCTCTGAGGTCCCTTCTCTTCTGTAAATTGTCTGTTCACATAATTATATTTCTAGTAACAATATTACGGTATGCATTACAATCATCATTGTGGTTGTTATTTGTTATTCACTGAGTACCACTTCTGCATTCTGCAGTGTATAAGGCACAGCACGTAGGAGACAAAGCTCAGACTTGAAAGGATTAAGTATTCTTATTGTAAAAAAGAATTTTATCAGCCTAACAGAACTGAGCTGTTAAAGTAGATACGACGTCTTGTGCCACGTTTACATGCCATGGACTATAGCAAAGGAGTTGAGTTAGACCATCTATACATCAATGCTCCTCTTATACAATGAGATTGGTCTGAAGTTCCTAAGGTAAAGCAATGCATTAGAAGAGAAATATCTTCATTTAGATTCAAAGTGTGAATGCTTTTTTAATGAGACAGCTTGAGAGATGACAAGTTCACAACTAGTGGGAAGAACTTTCATTACCAATGACTTAGGCTATTTCTACCCTGCAAAGCAAGAGAGACAGCAATGATCCAGTTGGTCTGGGGAAAAAAGTCCACTTACGTTGTGCCCAGTATATGCAAATCATCATGTTGGGTGCTGGACACACAGTTGTGAACAAGATTCCTACTTGTGGAGAGGTTGTGCTCTGGTGGACCAAGACAGATATTGAACAAGGAATCACAATTTTGATCATGCAGAAATGCAGGGTGCTGTGGGGCATGCAAGGGTAGGACCCATGAGGTAAAAGGCACTCAAACAGTTGACTTGTAGTAGGTAGGATTGTGGATCCCAAAAGATACATCCATATCCTTATCCCCAGAACCTGAGAATGTTACCTTATTTAGAAAAAGGGTATTTGCAAATGTAGTAAGAATCTTGAGATAAGGAGATGATTTCGGATTATTGGGTGAGCCCCAGATCCAGTAAATGTCTTTATAAGAGAAATCCAGAGGGAGATTTGAGACAGACAAAAGAGGAGAAGACACAGAAAAGAGGAGGAGGCAATGTGTGCCCGTGGAGGCAGATATTAGAGTGATGTGACCACAAGTCAAGGAATGCTCTCAGCCACCAGAAGCTGAAAGACACGAAGAACAAAGTCTTCTACATAAAGCATCTAGAGGGATTGTGGTCCTACTGATACCTTGATTTTAGACTTCTAGCCTCCAGAACTATGAGAGAATAAATTTCTGTGGCTTAATCCTTCCAGTTTGTGGTGGTTTGGTCCAGCAGCCGTAGGACACTAATACTGGACTGTGATCTATTTCTCCTCCACTCACCAGGGGCTGCGTTTCTGAGGGAGAACAAAAAAAGACAGGTGACCCTTCTAACCTTTTAATCTCCATTACATATGATAACTAGACCTCCAGGCAAATAGACCAATGGTATTTGCTGGTATAACAGTCCTTTCTAAGGAATCTTCTTTGAAGGATGTCTCCGGTTTAGGATTGCTTACAGTAAACAAATCTACAATCTATGAATCAATGAGGCACGGCTCTCCAAAGAATGTACACCTCTCCGAGGGTACAAAATGGATATGTTTCATAACTGAAATGTGACTCTCACATGTAGACCACAATTAATATTCTCAGTTAAAGAGAGCATGCCTGACGCAAGAAGGAAGAAAGAACATGGGAGGTACACGCGATCTCTCTGACTCGCCTCTTTTGTGTCTGTGACTTTTGATTGCTTACATTCTAGAATCTATTAGTAAATCTTGAAACTGAGTAAGATCTCTGATTTCTGTGATGCTGATTTGACAATCTGAAACCTAACAAGCTTAAGACAGGGGTACTGTGAGAATTTTCTCTGAAGAAGTTATGTGTAAGATGAGATATGGAGAATGCATAGTTATTAGCCTATGTGGCAGGCAGAATTCTAAAATGAGCCCCAAGATTTTCTTGACCCCTGCTGCGTCACTTTGTATAATACTTCCTTGAGTGTAAGGAAAGACCTGTGACTATGATGGTATAGTTCGTCCTTTGACCAGATTATACGGTAGAGGTGATAGGATAGTCTCTCCTGTGATTATCTTACACTATGTCTTAACTCTGTCTTAACTGAATAGAGAAAGATTCTCCTGCTGGCCTTAAGCTGCCTTGTTCTCAGAGGTCCTGTGAGATAACCAGGTGGCAAGGACCTGAGGCTGGCCTCTAGTTGTTGAGAGTAATCTCTAGCCAACGACTAGCAAGGAAACATGGACTTCAGTTGCACTACTGCCAAGAACTGAACTGGGCCTCTGTGAGTTTGGAAGGTGATTCTTCCCTGTTCTCCAGATGAGCATGCAGCTCGCGTGACACCTGGATTGCAGACTAGTGAGACCCTGAGGAGAGAACCGAGTGCGCCCAGAGTCCTAACCCACAGGAACTGTGAGATAATAGATGCGTATTGTTTCATGCTGCTAAGTTTGTAGTAATTTGTTACATTGCAATAAAAAACGAATACACCCATTGAAAGAGTGTTGGGTTGGATAGAGTGCTCCAGCCAAAAGCAGCTGTGAGTGTAGGAATCTAATGCAAAAAATGGCTTGGCATGGTCCGAGAATGTAAAGAAGTCTGGCAGGGCAGGGGTATGCTGACAGAGGAGATAGTATCTGCAATGAGGTTGAAGATGGAGGCACAGGTGGATCGGACAGGGCTCTGGCATTCAGATGAAGGGTGTTAGACTCTGCAATGGCAAGCATTTGAGGATTTTAAAGCAGTAGGGCAATTTGATCAAGCTTGAGATTTTGCAGGATCATTGTATTAGTTTGCTAATGTTGCTGTAACAAATTACCACAAATAGTGGCTTAAAACAGCATAAATTTATTTTCTTATGGTTCTGTGGGTTAGAAGTCTGACATGTTCATAGTGGGCTAAAATCAAGGTCATAGCAGGGCATATTCCTTTCTGGAGATTCAAGGAAGAATCTATTTCCTTGCTTTTTTGAGCTTCAGAGGCCACCTGCATTCCTTGGCTTATGACTTCCTTCCGCCATGTATAAAGCCAGTAAGGTCACATGTCTCTGACCATTCTTCTGTCATCACATTTCCCTCTGACTACAGCCAGGAGAAGTTATCCAGTTTAAAAACTCCTGACTAGATTGAGTCCACCCAGATAGTCCAGCATAATCTCTTACCTCAAGGCCCCTAATGTAATTACCTTCGAGATGTCCCTTTTGCATATTCACAGGTTCCAGGGATCAGAACATAGAATTGGGGGGGCGGGGGGAGCCTTTATTCTGTCTACCACAACCATGCTTATTGCCTGTGGAAAATGAAGTAGAAAGAGGGAAGAGCTGGGTGGGGGAGACAGCATAGGAGGCTATTCCAGTGGTCCAGGAGAGATGCGGTGGGAGTTCCAACCAGAGTAGTGGTAGTAGGAATGGAGAGACCTCATCAACTTGTAAGATATTTGGGTTATATTTGTACTTGATGTGGATATAGGAGCAGAAATAAAGAGGAATCAAAAATGACTTTCAGGATTTTGGCTTCAAGATCTGTGTGGATGGTGGGACATTCACTGAGCTAGGAGATAGTGAAGATGGTGCTGGTTTGTGCTTCACTTGCTTTCTGTACCAGACAATAGGTGACTTTCCCTCTTACTTCCAATTGGGTTCGGTGAACGGTGCAAAGGGAAGATGTCAAAGGAGAGAGGAGAGTGAGGACTGGATATTTATTCCACTGGGTGTCCTCCTGCAGGATTTTCGTGGGTTGGTTTTGTTTCCCCATCTATCAGACATCCCTTTCCAAACAGCTCTCTTGAACTCTCTCAAACTCTTCCTTCTTGTAACCACTTCTTTCCCTCGCCCACAGATCGGGAGTGCTAATGGCTTCCTGCTGTTAGCAGGCCTACTGTAATGCATCAACCCTTGTTGTTTTTCTAAACCTTGTCCACAATTTTGCAAATAGATCCTTTATTAAAATTTCTTCTGTTTCCTGCCAGAAGCCTGACTGATACATACTCAGTTCTAGATATATTGATGACTGTAAGACATCCTAGTGGAAACTTACACGTGAGTCCGGAGCTCCAAAACAAGGTGTGAATTGGAGATATCAATGTGGATGTTACCAGTGTAGAGATAATAACTGGAACTTTGGCAACTCATCAGATCTTTTAAGAAGGACGCCTAGAGTTAAAAGAGAAAAAAGCTTAGGAGAGAGAACAGAAGAGTTCTGATGTTTAAAGGTTGGTGGAAAAGAAAGAATACTGAGTAGAACTAGCCAGTGAGATAACAAAGAAACCAAGAGAAAAGGATGTCGTCAGAAAGGACAAAAAGGATTGGTATGAGTCTGCTTGGCTGTCGTAACAAGATACCACAGAATAGTTGGCTTAAACAACAGAAATTCATTTTTCACAGTTCCAGAACATGGCAAGTCCAAGGTTAAGGTGCCAGCACGGTCAGTTTCTGGTGAGAACTCTCTTTCTGGCTTACAGGTGGCTGCCTCTCACAATGTCCTCACATGGTGGAGAGAGAGATATAGAGAGAGAGCTCTCTGGTATCTCTTCTTATAAAGACGCTAATCCCATCCTGAGGGCCCCACCCTCATAACCTCCTCTAAACCTAATTACCTCACAAAAGTCCCATTTCCAAACACCACCTTGGGGTTACGACTTCAGTATATGGATATTGGGTAACACAACTCAGTCCATAGTGGGATTTAAAATGGGGGCATGGTCAACTGTGTCAAATGCTGCTGAGAAGTAAGCTCCA